CACCCAGCACCCATTTAAGGCCCCTCCCGGGTGTCCCCAGCGATGGCCACGATGTCCCCAGCCCTGGCCCTCGCCATGGCCCTGCTGTGCCTGGGTGAGACTGGGGGCACTGGGACGGACTGGGATGGACTGGGATGGAGATGGGGGTTACTGGGACGGACTGGGACAGACTGGGATGGACTGGGAGGGACATGGGGGGTTACTGGGATGGACTGGGATGGACTGGGATGGAGATGGGGGTTACTGGGACGGACTGGGACAGACTGGGATGGACTGGGAGGGACATGGGGGGTTACTGGGATGGACTGGGATGGACTGGGATGGAGATGGGGGTTACTGGGACGGACTGGGACAGACTGGGATGGACTGGGAGGGACATGGGGGGTTACTGGGATGGACTGGGATGGACTGGGATGGAGATGGGGGTTACTGGGGTGGACTGGGATGGACTGGGGGGGTTACTGGGGGGGACTGGGATGGACTGGGAGACACTGGGATGGAAACTGGGAGGGACTGGGATATACTGGGATGGAGATGGGGGTTACTGGGGTGGACTGGGATGGACTGGGGGGGTTACTGGGGGGGACTGGGATGGACTGGGAGACACTGGGATGGAAACTGGGATGAACTGGGAGGGACTGGGATGGACTGGGATGGAGATGGGGGTTACTGGGATGGACTGGGATGGAGATGGGATGGACTGGGACGGACTGGGACAGACTGGGATGGACAGGGATGGACTGGGATGGACTGGGATAGACTGGGATGGAGATGGGGGTTACTGGGATGGGCTGGGAGAGACTGGGATGGACTGGGAGGGGGATTGGGGGTTACTGGGATGGACTGGGATGGACTGGGATGGGGATGGGGTTACTGGGAGGGACTGGGATGGAGATGGGGGGTTACTGGGATGGACTGGGATGGACTGGGAAGGAGATTGGGGGTTACTGAGATGGACTGGGAGACACTGGGACAGAGAAGGGGGGTTACTGGGGTGTACTGGGATATACTGGGATGGACTGGGATGGGGATTGGGGTGGACTGGGAGATACTGGGACTGATACTGGAGTGGACTGTGGGCAACTGGGAGGGACTGGGAGGGACTGGGCTATACTGGGATGGAGATGGGGATTACTGGGATGGACTGGGATGGACTGGGAGGCACTGGGAGGCACTGGGATGGACATGGGGGTTACTGGGAGGGACTGGGAGAGACTGGGCTATACTGGGATGGAGATGGGGATTACTGGGATGGACTGGGATGGACTGGGATGGGAATTGGGGGTTACTGGCATGAACTGGGATGGACTGGGAGGGACTGGGAGAGACTGGGATGGAAACTGGGATGAACTGGGAGGGACTGGGATGGACATGGGGGGTTACTGGGATGGACTGGGATGGACTGGGAGGGTCTGGGATGTTACTGGGACGGACTGGGACAGACTGGGATGGACAGGGATGCACTGGGATGGACTGGGATAGACTGGGATGGAGATGGGGGTTACTGGGATGGGCTGGGAGAGACTGGGATGGACTGGGAGGGGGATTGGGGGTGATCCCTGCAAGGATCCCCCCGGCTTCCTCAGCCCCCAGCTGGGACCCGGCGCCGCAGCCCGGGGGCTGGGGGGGGATCCCGCGTCCTGCGGGGGAGGAGAGGGATCCACCGGGAGCGGATCGGGATCCTCTGGGAACCCGGGATCCCATGGAGGGAGACCGGGATCTTCTGGCGGATCGGGATCCTCTGGGGAATCGGGATCATACGGAAGTGGATCCGGATCCTCTGGAGGGAGACCGGGATCCTCCGGTGGATCGGGATCCTCTGGCAACCCGGGATCCTATGGGGGATCGGGATCATACGGAAGTGGATCAGGATCCTATGGCAACCCGGGATCCTATGGGGGATCGGGATCATACGGAAGTGGATCAGGATCCTATGGCAACCCGGGATCCTATGGGGGATCGGGATCATACGGAAGTGGATCAGGATCCTATGGCAACCCGGGATCCTATGGGGGATCGGGATCATACGGAAGTGGATCAGGATCCTATGGCAACCCGGGATCCTATGGGGGATCAGGATCCTATGGAGGGAGACCAGGATCCTCTGGAAGCTCGGGATCCTATGGGGGATTGGGATCCTATGGAGGGAGACCAGGGTCCTCCAGTGGATCGGGATCCTATGGCAACCCGGGATCCTATGGGGGATCAGGATCCTATGGAGGGAGACCAGGATCCTCTGGTGGTTCAGGATCCTATGGGAGTGGATCGGGATCCTATGGAGGATCGGGATCCCAAGGGGGTAGACCGGGATCCTATGGGGGATCGGGATCCTATGGAGGGAGACCGGGATCTTCTGGTGGTTCGGGATCCCAGGGAGGGAGACCAGGATCCTCCAGCGGATCAGGATCCTCTGGGGGATCCTTCGTCTCCCCGGGATCTTCCGGAGGGGAGCCGGGATCCTACGGGAGCCGCCCGGGATCCGCCCAGGGCGACGGCTCCGGCTCCTTCGTCTCGCCCGAATCCGGGGGGGAGCGGGGATCCCACGGGCACGGCAGTGGATCCGGAGCAGGGAGACCCGGATCCCCGGGGGCGAGCGGAGCCGGGTCATCCTATGGGGGATCCGGTTCGGGATCGGGCAGACCCGGATCCCAAGGAGGGAGCGGATGGGGATCCTCCGGGGGATCGGGATCCTATGGAGACACCTCGGGATCCTACGGCCTCCCTGAGACCTACGGGGACGACTCGGGATCCTACGGGGACTCGGGATCCCAGGGGGGCGGATCTGGATCCTCTGGGGGGTTGGGATCAGGATCCTGGCCCGGGTACAAGAATCCGGGGATCCCGTTCATCCCGGGGCTGAAGGATCCCGCCCGGATCGGGGGTTACATCCCCGTGCGCCGCGGGCCCGGGTCGGGATCGGGACCCGGATCTGGACTGGGATCGGGATTTGGATCCAGATACGGATTGGGATCAGGCTCAAGACTGGGATCCGGCTACGGATTGGGACCGGAGTCGGGAGCAGGATCTGGATCCAGTTATGGATTTGGATCGGGGTCGAGACCTGGATCGGGATCAGGATCGGGATCAAGACCCGGTTCGGGATCTGGTTACGGATTTGGATTGGGATCAAGACCTGGTTCGGGATTGGGATCAGGATCCAGTTACGGATTTGGATCAGAGTCTAGACCTGGATCGGGATCCGGATCAAGACCTGGATTGGGATCCAGTTATGGATTTGGTTCAGGATCGGGATCCAGTTATGGGTTTGGATCGGGATCAAGACCCGGATCGGGATCAGGATTGGGATCCAGTTATGGATTTGGTTCAGGATCGGGATCCAGTTATGGATTTGGTTCCGGATTGGGATCCAGCCCCGGCTCCACTTTGGGATCCAGTGCCCCCCAGTCCGGCTGTGGGGGCTGTGACCAATAACGGGGACCCCCCACCCCCGTCCCACCCCCGTCCCCGTGTCCCAATAAAGCGGGATCCAGTTATGGATTTGGTTCCGGATTGGGATCCAGCCCCGGCTCCACTTTGGGATCCAGTGCCCCCCAGTCCGGCTGTGGGGGCTGTGACCAATAACGGGGACCCCCCACCCCCGTCCCACCCCCGTCCCCGTGTCCCAATAAAG